AAGATTTGCTCGGGTATCCAAAAAGCAAATTGGAACCGGGAGTAAGGCCCCACGCCAGACAGCCTAAAGACAGATTGTCCAGGGAGGGGTCGGTGGGTTTCCTTGTAAAAGAAAGAAATAGTTCACGAAGAACTTCCTGACTGTGAGAGCCGCTCAGCAGTGGAACTCTCTGCCCCGGAGTGTAGTGGAGGCTCCTTCTTTGGAAGCTTTTAAACAGAGGCTGGATGGCCACCTGTCAGGGGTGATTTGAATGCAATATTCCTGCTTCTTGGCAGAATGGGGTTGGACTGGATGGCCCATGAGGTCTCTTCCAACTCTTTGATTCTATGATTCTAACCTCAAATGCCAGCTCCAGCTCTATAGTATGCAATGCCACCATCTTGTACAGACCAGGGAGAGCGGAAGCTATATGTGAGTGTCTGTTTGCATGTAAGCAGAAATCTTTGCATGCAAAGAGATCCTGACATTACATTTTGTCAGGTTCTTCAGGTGAAGGCATGAGGTGCCACCAAAAAGTATACATAAAAGACCCTGGCATGCTTCAGAATAAATGAGGCGCAGGAGAAAGCTCTGGAAGAAATGCATGGACGGCAAATCCTGTGTTTTCCCATGGAATCAAAGACCCCGGACTCTTTTGCTGTTATTAAGCCAATAATTAAGTACATTTGAAGTGCAATTTGTGTGTTTTGTTGAAGATCGAAGCAATAATAAAGAACTTCGTTAAACTTTCCAAATTTCTAAAGACTTTGTTTAGGAAAATCCATAGGGCCTCTCAGCCGAGGCACCCCGGTGTCCCTCTGGGCACAAAGAGCACGTCCTGTTTTAAAAGACAATTGCTATAGGCCCAGCGTGTGTCAGCACAGATATTATACTCCCAACTCAAGAACGGGAAATGTAACTTTAGTGGACAGCAAAAGAGATTTAAAGATGGTCTTAAAGCCAACCTTAAAAACTGTGGCATAGACACCAAGAACTGGGAAGCCCTGACCCCTGAGCGCTCTAACTGGATCATAGAATCATAGAATCAGAGTTGGAAGAGACCTCATGGGCCATCCAGTCCAACCCCCTGCCAAGAAGCAGGAATATTGCATTCAAATCACCCCTGACAGATGGCCATCCAGCCTCTGCTTAAAAGCTTCCAAAGAAGGAGCCTCCACCACACTCCAGGGCAGAGAGTTCCACTGCTGAACGGCTCTCACAGTCAGGAAGTTCTTCCTCATGTTCAGATGGAATCTCCTCTCTTGTAGTTTGAGGCCATTGTTCCGCGTCCCAGTCTCCAAGGAAGCGTGGAGGTCAGCTGTGACCAGCAGTGCTGCAGAATTTGAAGATACACAAAAAGGAGAAATGTGCCAAGAGGAAGGCGCATCAAGCCAACCTTGACCAAGACTGCCTTCCACCTGGAAATTGATGTCTTCACTATGGAAGAACATGCGGTCAAGAATAGGGCTCCACAGCCACCTAAGTACCCACCACCAAGACCTTACACTTGGAGGACCATCATACTAGAATACTTCAATGTAGACTTATGTAAATATAATATAGAATAACAAAGATGGTGGAGATGGCTGCAGTGGTGATGTCTCACTTAACGAAGCAGTGAGAGGGTTACTCAGCAGCGAAAAGAAATTAAGCACAAGTTAGATCAAGTTGTGCGGGTGGAGACTCATAAACACAGCACAAAACGAAACACAACTTAGGAAGAACGAGATAAAGGAAGACAATTTATGTAAACAGGTTCAGCACTGATCTTCAGTGTCGACAAGCAGAATGCTGAGCCTCAATTATTAAGACATGCCAAGGTGATTATTCAAACTTGAAAGGACATTTGTAAAGGAAGGAAATGCAATTTAAAACAGACAGGAAAAAGGCTTTGCTTAGAAAGCCACAACCTTGATTAAACTGATCATCAAAATCAAAATAGTTTATTTTGTAACTCTTAAAGCAACAGCATCTATTGCACAAAGTATGGGAGGACAAAACTGTTTTGGTTCTTTTAGCTTAATTAGCTTTCAACAACTAGGATACGAGCACCCAGTGGCACTATGGGTTAAACCTTTGTGTACCGGCAGGACTGCTGACCAAAAGGTAAGCGGTTTGAATCTGGGAAGCGGGGTGAGCTCCCATCTGTCAGCTCCAGTTTCTCATGTGGGGACATGAGATAAGCCTTACAGCAGCATTTCTCAACCTGGGGGTCGGGACCCCTGGAGGGGTCACGAGGGAGTGTCAGAGGGGTCAACAAAGACCATCAGAAAACACAGTATATTCTGTTGGTGATGGGGATTCTGTGTGGGAAGTTTGATGCAATTCTATTGTTGGTGAGGTTCTGAATGCTCTTTGGTTGTAGGTAAACTAAATCCCAGCAACTACAACTCCCAAATGTCAAGGTCTATTTCCCCCAAACTCCACCAGTGTTTACATTTGGGCATATTGAGTATTTGTGCCAAGTTTGGCCCAGATTCATCATTGTTTGAGTCTACAGTGCTATCTGGATGTAGGTGAACTACAACTCTAAAACTCAAGGTCAATGCCCACCAATCTCTTCTAGTATTTTCTGTTGGTCTTGGGAGTTCTGTGTGCTAAGATAGTTACAATTCCATCACTGGTAGAATTCAGAATGCTCCTTGATTGTAGGTGAACTATAAATCCCAGCATCTACAACTCCCAAATGACAAAAATAACCTACAACACCCAAATGCCAAATTTGGTCCAGTGGATGAAAATACATCCCGCATATCAGATATCTACATTACGACTTGTAACAGTAGCAAAATTACAGTTATGAAGTAGCAACAAAAATAATGTGATTGGGGGATCACCACAACATGAGGAAATGTATTAAGGGGTCACGGGATTAGGAAGATTGAAAACCACTGCCTTACAGGAAGGAAAAACATCTGGGTGTCCCCTGGGCAACATCCTTGCAGACAACAAATTCTCTCACACCAGAAGCGACTTGCAGTTTCTCAAGTTGTTCCTTGGAGCCCCCAGTGGCGCAGTGGGTTAAACTCCTGTTCTGGCAGGACTGAAGACTGACAGGTCACAGGTTCAAATCCAGGGAGAGCACGGATGAGCTCCCTCTATCAGCTCCAGCTCCTCGTTCGGGGACATGACAGAAGCCTCCCACAAGGATGATAAAACATCAAAACATCCAGGCGTCCCCTGGGAAATGTCCTTTCAGATGGCCAATTCTCTCACACCAGAAGCGACTTGCAGTTTCTCAAGTCGCTCCTGACACGACAAAATAAAAGTTGTTCCTGACACGAAAAAGAACCCAACTAGGATGGTTTCTATGAGTGCCCAGCTATGCAAAGCCTCTGCTCTGAATACTGTGCCTAACCTAATTCAGAGGTCAATTCTTGAATACTATGATCCAGCAAACACTGGGAAAGATATATAACACTGGGACAGATTATATAAACCCAATTTTCTTAGTTCCCAACAGACCTCCCAATATCTGAGGATGCCTGCCATAGATGTAGGCGAAACATCAGGAGAGAATGCTTCTAGAACATGGCCATACAGCCCCAAAAAACTACAACAACCCATTGGGAAAGAACCAGATGCAAGTGAGCACCGCCTGGATCATGAATTCATGAATTTGACTGCATCGGTCAGATTGGGCACCTTAAGGACCACTTGTACATCAGCACAGGAAATGGATGATGACAATGAGGCAGAGATGAGTACTTGACTTTCCCTTAATGAAGATGCTGCTAATTGGTCCATTGACCCAGGTTGTAATGGAACTGAACCCTCTTTCTCCATTGGAAAAAAAGGATTAAACTGATGGATTAAAATTGTGGCTGTAGCAGAATGATCAGGAAACTTTAGATCAGTGTTTTTCGACTTTTTTTTGTTTCCAGGGACCACTTTGACCAGGGGCCACTCTCCAACGTTAGTACCAAAAGGTTTACAAAGCCGTGTTTGGTCAACTTCAGATTCAGTTTGGTTATTTGGGGTGCTGATTCAGAAAATTGCATTGGATAGACCACATGAGCTCTAGTTTCTGATACAGAGCATATGCCATTCAGTAGTCACCATCTGCTTGCCCATAGAAAATCATATTTAATAATCTAGAGCTGGTATGGTCTAGCCAGTGCAATTTTCTGAATCAGCACCCCAAATAACCCCAGGAACAGGCCTAAAAACGAAGACACTAAAGCGCTTTGGCTTTCAGATGCCACATGGAATTATTTATTTACCATACTTTTATATACCGCCTTTCTCTGCCCGAAGGCGACTCAAGGTGGTTTACACAACGGCACAATTTTATGCCCCCAACAACATAAATCACAATTAAAATAATTTAGCATAAATATAAAGCCACACAATCAATAAAAGATCCTCAGTGTCTCATTACTAAAATCATTATCCAATCGTATTGTCCAGCCGTTCTGTAGGTCTAACTTTGACTATTACACTGAATTTGTAAATACTTGCTCAAAAAGTCAGGTTTTAACTTTTTTGCAAAACGTTAGGAGGGAGCGGGCCAATCTGATATCTCTTAGGAAGGGTGTTCCACAGCCGGGGGGCCACCAATGAAAAGGCCCTGTCCCTCGTCACCCGCCAGCTGAATCTGTGATGAAAGCGGGCCTCTCCAGATGACCTTAGAGTCCTAGATGGTCCATAAGGAGAGATACGTTTAGACAGGTAAGCTGGGCCAGAACCGTTTATGAATGGCTCCACTCAGGTGAAGGGAGAAGGAGGAGAAGCAGCAGTCCGCAGGCTTGTTGTCACACCTTTCATGGATAGTCAGCCTCTCCCCTCCCAACATCCCCGTTGCCCTGGCACTATGGTTTCATGAGACCAGTTGCTCTCGTTGCAATGATGTGGTAACAGTGAGGCCACGGACCATATTTTAGTTCTTGGGGACCACTAGTGGTCCATGGACCACAGGTTGGGAACCACCACTTTAGATGATGGATTATAATTGGAGTTTGTACTTAGGCTAATTTGGGTTAATTTGGCAAGAGACATATAAAGAGGAAGGTAGGACTCACCTGCAGACGAGCGTTGCAATGATGACGCACCAGGCTGTGCAACAGCAATCCGCATTCAGTTCCTCACTTTTCCGGTGGCGACAACACAACCAGAAGGAATAGAAAAGGAGGAAGAGGAGATCCAGAGCAAGGCAGGAGAGAGCAACGCCTCCCAGTAACAACAGGGCCTGGAGTGGGGAAGAAACACAAACATCCCATTGAGCAAAAGATCTTTAAAACTTTTCCATAATTAAATAAACTATCCTTCCTGCATCTGGGGATCACAACCAGACACAGTGAAGGCATCTGCCCTTGTGCTTTGCTACTCTGCTGCTGAGTATGCATGCACAGAGTGGAACACATCTCACCACGCTAAAACAGTGGATGTGGCTCTTAATGAGACATGCCGCATTATTGCAGGATGTCTATGCTCTACACCACGGTTTAGCCGGTATTGCACCACCTGACATCCATCGAGAAGTAGCAACCAATAGCGAAAGGACCAAGGTAGTGACATCTCCAGCTCATCCCGTTTGGATATCAGCTAGCACATCAACGACTTAAATCAAGAAATCATTTTCCAAGCTCTACAGAGACACTCACAGGAACACCTCAGCAAGCAAGAGTCCAAAAGTGGCAGGCTAATACCCAGAATCTCAATCAATGTCTGATACCAAATGAGAGACTCCCTCCTGGGCACACAGAAAACTGGGCGACTTGGAAAGTGCTGAACAGACTGCGCTCCAGCACCACGAGATGCAGAGCCAACCTGAAGAAATGGGGCCACAAAGTGGAATCCACGACATGCGAGTGTGGAGAAGAGCAAACCACAGACCACCTACCACAATGCAACTTGAGTCCTGCCACGTGAACAACAGAGGACCTTCTTATAGCAACAGCAGAGGCACTCCAAGTGGCCAGCTACTGGTCAAAGGACATTTAATAGGAGGGTTGAATGAAAAGTTATGCCTCCACCTTCGTAACCCCAAAGGAGATTCATCAGAGAATGCAAGCTGTTTATGGTGATTGTGTTGATGTGAGTACTGTGTGTCATTGGGCGAGTAAGTTTAAAGATGTTGAGGTGACACCTTCTGCTGTCAAGAATTCAATGACTGCATGTTGCTTAAGTCACATTGAGCGACCGTCCGTGCAGGGTTTCATACTTTGCACTTTCCACCGTCTCCCAAAACAGTTGCTCTACTCCGAACTCAAGAACGGAAAACGGAATATTGGTGGACACGAAAAGAGATTTAAAGATGGGCTCAAAGCCAAGCCCAAAAACTCTGGCATAGACACTGAGAACAGGGAAGCCCTGGCCCTTGACCGCTCCAGCTGGAGGTCAGCTGTGACCAGCAGTGCTGCAGAATTTGAAAGGCACGAATGGAGGGCGAAAGGGAGAAGTGTGCCAAGAGGAAGGCACATCAAGCCAAGCCAATCCCGACCGAGACCACCTTCCACCTGGAAACCAATGCCCTCACTGCGGAAGAAGATGCAGAGCAAGAATAGGGCTCCACAGCCACATACGGACCCACAAGAATATTGGAAGACAATCATCCTCGGAAAGCGAGGGATCGCCTAAGTAAAGTAAGTAAGTAAGTCTACATGTTAACAACACAACTGTTCAATGCTAAGGCCTCCCGCCAAAATGGAACTGTAGAGGAGAGTCTACTGAACAAGCCAGTACCTGCCGCATACCAGTACTGCCATCTGTTGAGGAGTTACGAAGGTGGAGGCATTACTTTTCATTCAACCCTCGTAGAATGCCAAGTTTGCAAACTTGGTGTGTACGTTTTTAAATACAATACAACTGTTTGCTTCACTCCTGACACGATAAATAAATAAATACCCCATAATAATCCAGGTCTCCTGACTGTTGCTCAGGCGGTGACAACCTTCTCTCTTGGCCAAACACATTTCTAATCACAGTGCCTTCTTTCCAGATTAGCTGTATGGGCAAGCCAAGCCAATCAACAATCATATCATGAATGGGATAATGCCATGCTGCATATGTGGACGTTGTATTTACTCCAATTTGGAGGCAAAGCGGAGAGCGAGGCAACGGTTTCTGAAGAGGTCGCTCTCTCTGTGTGTCACGCACAGCAAAACAAAACTGAAGCAAGGCCAAAAGGAGAGGCTTCTTTCAACTGTGCTCAAAACGATACTAAAAATCAGCAAATATTTTCATATGCATCTCAATACACTTTACTATCTCGTTTCCCAGGAAATGCAAGCCGTATGTTTCTGGTCAAAATATATAATGGCACCATATTGTGTGCTGAAAGCCAAGAAGGAAAGGTATTGTCGAAGGCTTTCATGGCTGGAATCACTGGGCCTGTACGGCCATGTTCTAGAAGCATTCTCTCCTGATATTTCGCCTGCATCTATGGCAGGCATCCTCAGAGGTTGAGAGGTCTGTTGGATACTAGGAAAGTGGAGTCTATATAGAAAGAACTCTTGTCTGTTGGAGGCGGGTGTCAATGTTGCAATTAGCCTCTTTGATTATCATTGAATGGCCTTGCAGCTTCAAAGCCTGGCTGCTTTCTGCCTGTGGGATCCCTTCTTGAGAGATGTTAGCTGGCCCTGATTGTTTCCTGTCTGGATTTCCCCTGTTTTTTGCATGTTGATCTTCATTTACTGTCATGATTTTGGAGCCAGATTTTGTTCATTTGCATGGTTTCCTCCTTTCTGTTGAAATCGTCCACATGCTTGTGGGTTGCAATAGCTTCTTTGTACAAGGCTGGCCAATTGCAACATTCACACTTTCCTCAAACAGACAAGAGTTCTTTCTCCCACCCTGGACATTATTCCAGAGATATATAAACCCCACTTGCCTAGTTTCCAATAGATCTCACAACATATTGTCGAAGGCTTTCATGGCCGGAATCACCGGGTTGTTGTAGGTTTTTTTCGGGCTATATGGCCATGTTCTAGTGGCATTCTCTCCTGATGTTTCGCCTCCATCTATGGCAAGCATTTTCAGAGGTAGTGAGGTCTGTTGGAATTAGGAAAATGGGTTTACCGGTATATATCTGTGGAAAGACCAGGGTGGGACAAAGGACTCTTGTCTGCTGGAGCTAGGTATGAATGTTTCAACTGACCCGATGAACCAACCTGGACACAGAATATTATTTGAGAACACAGAAATGCTGGACCACTCTCACAACCATCATGTCAGACTACACAGAGAAGCCATTGAAATCCACAAGCATGTGGACAATTTCAACAGAAAGGAGGAAACCATGAAGGTGAACAAAATCTGGCTACCAGTATTAAAAAAAACTCTAAAATTAAAACAGAAAAACAGCAGAGGGAAAACAATCAGGGACATCTAATCACCTCTCAACAAAAGATTGCTCCAGGCACTGCCAGGCTATCAAATGCTAATCAAGGTGGTCAGTTGAAACATTCACACCTAGCTCCAGCAGACAAGAGTCCTTTGTCCCACCCTGGTCTTTCCATAGATATATAAACCCACTTTCCTACTTCCAACAGACCTCACTACCTCTGAGGATGCTTGCCATAGATGCAGGCGAAACGTCAGGAGAAAATGCCTCTAGAACATGGCCATACAGCCCGAAAAAACCTACAACAACCCAAGAAGAAAAGGCATTGCTGTTTGCAAAGGGAGAAGACAACAGTACACAAGCCTGAGGACAAACCCTTGAATGTCCATTCACATGCTTTGGCACGAAATCGGAACCAATTCCCTATGAGAAGCCTAGATTTCCATCAATGTTCAAATTCGTCCACATTCTGCTCTACGAATACGACAAATAGCTAAAGAATAAACACTTCAGTCAATTGCTTTCGGGACACAACGAGCTGGAGGTCACTGTCCATGAAATGCCACCAGATTGCGAGGCTGCAAAAATACCTGGAACGGAGCCCAAGCGGTTTCTGCCAGCGCCGTCGTATTAGTCCCCTTCAGTCTGAAGGCAAAGCCGTGCCAGAAATGTGCAGCGTGGAGGGGATTTTATTTTTAATCAGCGACATCTCTTTTGCTTAGCTTCCAAAAATCCGGACAGTGTTGCTCAGAAGTCCTTGAATTGGAACACTGTCTCTCGGACAAGAAACTGGGTTTCGACACCATTCTATATTAAGCTGCTACAAAAAAATCAGTCAGGGACATGGACTGGAGTGCCATCAACTTGCAGCTGCACCTCTTTCCCATAGAAACATCTCAGGAAGGTGGAAGGTATCCTGAAAATGTGTCTGGAAATACCACTGGAATGGATGAGTGGGCACAAGGCATGCTCTGAACCAGATGCTATTACATGCCATGCCTTTAACATGCCAGCTCCGATCACATGAACCTAGCTGCACAGTCGTCGCTCCACATGCTTGGCTTCAAATGACAGGAAAGGAGATTCCACCTGAGCATTAGGAAGAACTTGGGTCTGGAGAACAAGCCCTATGAGGAGCAGCTTAAAGAGCTGGGCATGTTTAGCCTGAAGAAGAGAAGGCTGAGAAGAGACCTGATAGCCATGTATAAATATGTGAGAGGAAGTCATAGAGAGGAGGGAACAAGCTTGAAAGTGTGTCTGGAAATACCACTGGAATGGATGAGTGGGCACAAGGCATGCTCTGAACCAGATGCTATTACATGCCAGCTCCGATCACATGAACCTAGCTGCACAGTCGTCGCTCCACATGCTTGGTTTCAAATGACAGGAAAGGAGATTCCACCTGAACATTAGGAAGAACTTGGGTCTGGAGAACAAGGGTCTGGAGAACAAGCCCTATGAGGAGCGGCTTAAAGAGCTGGGCATGTTTAGCCTGAAGAAGAGAAGGCTGAGAAGGAGACCTGATAGCCATGTATAAATATGTGAGAGGAAGTCATAGAGAGGAGGGAACAAGCTTGAAAGTGTGTCTGGAAATACCACTGGAATGGATGAGTGGGCACAAGGCATGCTCTGAAGCAGATGCTATTACATGCCATGCCTTTAACATGCCAGCTCCGATCACATGAATCTAGTTGCACAGTCGTCGCTCCACATGCTTGGCTTCAAATAACAGGAAAGGAGATTCCAACTGAACATTAGGGAGAACTTGGGTCTGGAGAACAAGGGTCTGGAGAACAAGGGGGGTGGGGGGGGGGGGGGGGGGGGGGGGGGGGGGGGGGGGGGGGGGGGGGGGGGCGGGGGGGGGGGGGGGGGGGGGGGGGGGGGGGGGGGGGGGGGGGGGGGGG